GAAAATTTTGGATACTTCAGTAGAAGTGAACAACCAGACAACTCAGCCAGCAAAGAAGGTAACTCCTCACTCTGTTGGGAGGCAACCTTTCCTCCTTTCTGGGTGAGAAATGGATTCCTGGAAGGAGAGGTGGACCAATCACCATGTGAAAAAGACTAGATTGTTGGACAAAAGTCTTCTGTCCTTATGGGGAACAGGAGGGGCCCTTTGGATAAGTTGGGCTTATATTCTTTTGATCTACATAATGTGAAAAGTCTACCCTGGAGGCTGTGGAACATGTCTCAGTGAGGATGGGCCTAAGCGAAACAGAGCAGGGGAAATGGCTGTGGGAGAAGGGGAGAAGGCCTCCGATAGACACTTTGGTGTAGCCACCCACAGCAGGGGACCAGTAGATATGAACCTGGCCCACCTGAACTGTTGTTATTCTCTGTGGAGTACTTGGTAACCTGTCCTGAATTTCAGCAGCTCTTTGTTTAGTGCCAAGGATATTTGTACCTCATCTTTAGGCATGTACTCACGTGGAGTGCCTCCTTTCCATGGGTTTTAGTAATTTTCCTTCTCCTTCTCCAATCCCTTCTCCCCCTCAGGCTTTCATGTATCAGAATGTTCCATTTGTTTAGTTGTTGGTTCCAGATAACTCAAGAAAACAGGGTTAAGTGGTACAAGGTCTTCCCACATGAGAAGGGAGGAATCAATTCATTTAAAGCTCCCACTGCCTGTTTCTACCTGAGCTGGCTGGCCGCCGCTGGCACTGGCAGCAGCAGTAGGTGGCAGCAGAACTGACTAGCTGACTCATCCCTGAATCCCCAAACCCACCTGGTTAGAGCTGTTGCTTCCTGGGGAAGCTTGCTAATATTGGTTTGCTCTCTTTTTTACTCAGTTTTAATTTCATTGCAAAAACTATGGCTTTAAGTTTATACTGCTATTTGAAGGGGCACAGTGCCTGACTGTTATTGTGAGATTCTGTCACCATGTGTGTATGTTTTATGGCTTAATCTAGTTAGTGGAGTTTTCTTAGGGATGGGTCTCATTCCCTTTTAATTGGCTAAGGAACATTCAGCCAGTAAGGTATCTCACTTATGGACTCTCCAACCAGAAGATGAATTGTGTTTATAGGAGAAATTCAATGGGTCCAAGGAATTCACCCTAATCAGGTTAAACTCCTGATGACTTTAAAGGAAATCCCCTGCCAGGTTAAGCTCCTGGAAGGAAGTACAAACTTACCAGGTTAAACCCCTGGAAGGAAATGCTTTGCCAGGTTAAACTCCTGAAGGGAAGTACAAACTTGTCAGGTTAAATCCCTGGAAGGGAGTGCAGCCTGACCAGATTAAACCTCTGGGAGGCTAAACCTATGCCCTAATTTTTGCTCCTCCTATCTACAGATGGGAACAACTTCATCTATTCCTTCTGAGTCCCTGCTTAAATGTCTTCTTAACCATTAGAACAAGTCCCACACTAAGACCCTTCAAAGACATTGTCTTATATGCCTGTGTAATAACAAATGGACTATGTATCCACTTGGGGAAAAGGAGATGTGGCCACCCCTTAGCAACCTGAAATATTTCAATTATATCTTTACTGTAAGGAGCAAGACAAATGATCAGAGAGGTGCCTTATATTCAAGCCTTTATGCCTCTCCACCAGAGGCCTGATCTGTACCCTAGAAGTCATCATCTCTCAGGAGCTGATGTTGTAGAGGACTCGCTCCTATTAGCTCCTTCTTCCCACAGACTACCTCCTCAACAACCTGCTTAGTCAGTACCTCAGGAGATAAAGGCCATCTCCTGAGTCCATCCCATACTAGGTCTGGGTCTACTTACCATAGGGCCTTAGACTCAGGGAACGGTGCATCTGAGCCTGCCACTGATCTACCCTTTCGAGAAGTGACAAGCACTGATAGTACAGTTCACATGGTAGTTTCTTTTCCACTTACAGATGTTCAGCAGTGCAAGGAAAAAATGAGTAGATTGTCAAAGGATCCTGAAGTTTGCTGATGGTTTCCATACCCTAACAATGGCTTTGGATGTGACCTGATGAGATGTCCAATTCATCCTCATTTCTTGTTGCACAGCAGCAGAAATGAAAAGGATTATAAAGGCTGCAAAGCAAGCCAATGATGAAATCTGAAGCTTCACCCTCTGAGGATCAGCCAACTGTGGCATTATTTGGGCCTCAGGAAGGGCCTGAGTGGAATTATAACAGAGAGGGTGGAGAAACTAAACAAAAGTTATATTTTAGCTGGTATGCAACAAAAGATGCCCCAAACCTGTGAACTATGAGAAGCTCAGGTCTGTTAGTCAAGGCCCTAGTGAGAACTCAGTTGCTTTTCAGCTTTGACATGAAGAGGGGATCATGGGAGATTCTGGTCAGAGCTCAGAAGAACAGAAGACTGATAGAAATCTGGCCAGTAAAGACCAGACTTGGGAGGTTTCTGCTAGGAAGAAAGACTGAATTGGCTGTTAGACTCCAGATGATGTGTTATGTATGCCTTGGCAGAAAGTCTGTCTGCATTTTGCTCATATCCAGAGACTGCCTGAGACTGAAATTAAGGTTGATGGACTAATTAATGTGGCAGAAGAAATTTCAAGACAGTATAATGTGGAGGCAGTGGCATGGCTACTGTTGGGGGCTTTTAGCCAGATTTATGTTGTGAATCAAGAGCAAAGAGCCCACCAAATGATTTAAAACAGTTTGAGTTTGGCCATAAAGGAAGCTCTGGTAGAACTGTGTAGAACCAGCCTATGAGCTCAATCCTGACAAAGGGTGTTGAGGATGAAAAATAAAGAGACACAGAATCAGGGTAAAATCTGGAAGGCCAAGGGGTTCTCGTCTCCGCTTGCCATAGAACCCTACATGACTGGCACAATTTGGCTTTATTCACTTAGACACAGGCACAAGCAATTAGAGTTATACAGGTTACACCTGTCTCCCTCCCTCCATGGTACTTGTCTGGGTAAACCACAGGATTTTTACTTTCCTTGAGGCATGTCAGCCATCTTGCATGGCCTCTTTCTTAGTGCTCATAGAAGAGGCCAATTAGGCCTCAATCTTCCCATCAGGTCCCCTACAGAGCTGTAGACTGAAAAGATGGAGCAGAGGAGGTCTTAATTGCTGAGAAAGAACAGGAAAATAAAAAGATGGCCTGAGGGCATTACAAAAAAGCAGCAATACTCTACCCATTGCAGCCTCAAAAATGCAAAAGTGAAAGGCTTTGCTTTAAAAAGAGAGCTCCATGCTGCGCAAGCACGAGGACTGGAGTTCGATCCCCAGTACCAAAAATAAAAATAAAATAAAAATAAAAAGAGAGCTCTAGAGCACTGTGTTCCAGAATGGCAGCAGCCTAGGGAAGTTGTTCCTTGGGATTTGGTTCATAGGCACTGTACTCCTACAGCCAAAAGAGAAAGAAGCCTGACTACTGCTCTGGTTGGTGGCAGATCTTGTCATCATCTACATGGTGTTGGTTTTAGGTGCATGCAGAATACAAGAGTTGTGGGGTCAGGAAGGCTTCCACCCAGATTTCAGAAAAAGGAATGGGAGGCCAGACAGTGTGCCCCTGAGAGGGCAATGTGTAAAGCTGTGAGTGTGAAACCAAAGGTGCAATAGAGACTGCAGAAGTTTGGAAAAGCCAGGAGCACAGATCATCTGAAGAAAATTGCAAGGAGGGAGCGGAGGTAGCCCCAGAGAAAAGCCATGGGAGGTAAAATCACCACAGTGCCTTAGGAGCAGAGCCACACAAGCCCTTTGGAGTTCACAGCTTGCCACAGATAGCAGGATGCTGGAAGTGAAACTATGGGATTTAATATTTACCCTCCTAGATTTTGGACTTGCTTTGGTCCCATTCCTTTGTATCCCCCTATTTATAACTTTTAGAATGGAAATGCCCATCTTGTTTCATTGAATGTTAGAAGTGTTTAACTTTCTTTTCATTTGTACAGGGGCTTGCAGCTAAAAATTTGTCTTAAATCTCAAAAGAAACTTTGGACTTAGTGTTTTCAGTAATACTGAAACTGTTAGAACTTTGGAAACTCCTAGAGATAGGCTAAATGCTTTTTTGCCTAATGGGATATGCATGAGCATTTAGGGGGCTGGAGCAGAATGTTATGGCTTGTGTTTAGATGTTCCCTCAAAGCCTCCTAGGTGGGCCTTTTTCTGGGGTGGATGGATCTAGAGTGTGTGGGATTGATTCATGGTGCAATGCTATGCTCAAGGGCACTATGATTAAGGGTGTGAGTGCTACCCACCCTAAGTGGTCTAGTTAAGATAAAAGGGGCAGAAAGACACTGTTAAGGTCTCTTGTTGCTTTTGCTACCATCTGGCCACCATGAACATTTTCTCCTCTGCAAGGCCTGTCTGCCAAGCCACTCTGCCATATAGAGAGCTGATTATGACTAAATAAACCTTTCCTCCTTTTAACTTTGGGTGTCAGTTATTTTGTCTCAGCAATGACAGAAAAGTAACTAAGACATGTACTTTAAAGAAAAACTGCAAAACACAAGCCCAATTTATTTACTTTTTTTCTTCTAAAACAGCAAACCTGAGCAAATTCTTTTCAGCTACAAATGGCTCTGCTCATTCCCTCTTACTTGCAAATCACTTTCACCCATGAGTGGACCATCCTTTTGGGATTTTTCATAGGAATAGACCATTATCTCACTGGGGGTGGGCTATCCTCTCCCACGGACTAAGAGTATAAGTTATCTAATTCCACAGATTTCCACCTCCCAAAACACATAAAGGATTCTTAGTTCCCAACTGTATTCTCATTTCCTTGTGCACCTGCACTCCACTCTAATAAACCTTTCTCATCCATATTTTACTGATATGTCTTGAAAATTCTTTCTCCATGACAGGAGTCAGCAAACCTGCATATGTATTTGAAAGGGGTTGATTAAGTTCTTTATTTCAGCCTCAGGGACCCTCAGAAGGCAGCCCAACCATCAGGAAAGTGTTGCCTAATACAACATCTCACAACACTATTAACCACTTTTTTTGTCATTAAGATACAGGAAATAGTTGGATTCACCTCTCCAGGGTAAAAGTGAAACTGCCTGAGACGCCAGAAGATGAAGAAGGACTATGAACTTCATACTCCTCTGAACCAACCAATAGACCTCAAGTTTTGTTTTGTTTTGTTTTGTTTTTTTCAGAAAACACCAACCACTCTGGTGAACCAGATGGATAAAAAAGTTTCCTCCCTCTAAGTAGATTGTGTGAATAGTGTCACTACTGTTTTGTTTACCACACTTATTAAAATAATAATTTTGCTTGAGTCATAAAAAGGCCATACCCAAATACATCTGAGTTCACTCTGGTTTATGAACAATTAACTGTCTTGTGTGTGTTTGTCCATTCATTTGTCCAATTTGTGCTAATGACCAGTTGCAACACCTACAGCTGTTTTGAGTTCCACAATTTTTTCTTATTTTTGCCTTTTTTGGGATCTCCATGGAAAACAGTGTATATAGGTTCAAATATTTCTGTCTGTAGCTTAAGATGCCTTATAGGTAAAATAAGTGTCATTAAATTTAAGGACATGCTTCTATCCAAGTTGCCAGTCAATCAAAATGATGTCAAGACTGGTTGTTGTCTGTAGAACAACTTGGGAATCTTTCACTGGTCAAAATTAATGTGCTAATTGTTATGATCTGGTTCTCACAGGTCATCTAAAAACATAGGATGTTCTGATTAAAATAACTAAAAGGGGACTCCCTGGGCTTGAGAAAACTGCTGGACAAGACTCCCCTCGATGAATAAAGAAAGAGCTGCCTGCAAACATTTATTCCTATATTTATTCACTAATGGTATCACCTGCAATTTCCATAAACTTATGGGAGACACACCCCAATAAACATTGCTAAACACATTATTGTAATATATTTACATTTTTATCATCCAGGTATCTACTTTTTCCACAATTTGTACAACTTCTTCCTCTTTAAGACCTGATGGAACACTCAATTAGGCCAGGGAGCTTCCCATTTGGGAATGGGGCAATACCCTGTAAGACTTTACTCAGATGGAAGCTTAAGTCCATTCTATAGAGACACTAGGCCTCATCCTTCCTTTTCCTCATCTTTGGGGATTCTTCTGAACCCATCTAGAGATTTATGCCAGCCATTGTGGCTCTTGAACTTTTCTGAGGCTTTTTCATGAGCCAATCTGGAGCTCAAGGTTCTTTAACCATTTGTCTGACAGGAAAGTTAGGATTAAGAGATTTTGAGAGACTAGAGACACTGGGATGTGTGTAGAGATCAATTTGATTTGCTCAGGAATAAAGTGCTTGTACTACTTTGTAGCTCCCTAGAGAAATTTCAGTTACCTGTGATTTAGAAAAAGATTTTTTTTATATATAATGGCCATTATAACTGAAAGCACACTCTGATTTCACCCAGCTGTCCTTAAAAAGATTCTCTGAAGTACCTTTGGCCAGGATAGTATCCATAGCTGCTTTCCTCGCCCTTGTTTGGATTAGCGATAAGCACAAGCAGGACCCTTCTCTGTCCATTGACTATGTAGCTACTTGGATAATATTGGTTGATTTCTTACTGGGGTTTAAATTTCCCCTCATTTTGGCTAACAGTCATTGGTTCATTTTAAACTCATTCTGTTTCAAATATTTGTCAAAGTATCTGTTTGATGGAAATTGACTTTTGTCTACTGCCTCCTTCATTTCTCAACTTAAAAAAATAGATGGATTTGACTACAGATGCCTTCTTTTTGTGTTTTTCTTGGGGGAAAATATTGGTCCTAAACTGGTTTCTTGTTTCCACGCTAGAGGCTTTGAACAATAGAGCCAGGATAAGATGTGTAAATTTCTGACCAACTATGTCTAAATTTTAGCACAATGGAAAATGCCTTAAAACCTGGGGAAAGAGCTTTCTAAATTGACTAAGATCTATGATAAGGTAGAGGGAGAAGCTTTAGGAAATTTAAACTCAGATTAATTGGGTCAGTAGTCTCAGATGTATATTTCTCATCTTCTTACACGCAAATTTAGGATTAAGAATTTTTTAGACTGTGAAAAACAAAATCATGCCAATAATGTAACTTTAAAAATCTAGTAAATAAAAAAAGATCTGGAAAATGATAAATCAAGTATTTGTTTTATGTGTGTTGGTGTGCATTATATGTTATGTTTGTGTGTGTACTACTGTTTATATATTGTTTAGATGGTACCAGATTGATTTAAAAATAAGACAACTTTAGAAATTAGGAAAACATAAACCCAAATGTCTTTTAGTCCACATGACTTAAGTAAATGTTTAAAAGATTAAGATAAAAGTGTCTTCAGAACTGTTAACATGCATTTTGCCCATGTTAGCTAAACAGAATAGTTTGTATTTGACATGAAAAAAGTATTTTCAGTTTCATGAAATTTTTAAAAAAGACTGAAGAGCATAAAAGAAATTTAATTAAAATTTTTTGAGTTTATTATTGATATAGGAGAAAATAACTCCCAACCTGCTAGGTATCAGATGTGCTGAGTTTGTGTTCCCCGAAATTGAAGAATGAATTCCAAAGGACAAAGGAGGTTAAGAGTAGGAAATGTTTATTGGGGAATAGGAATAGATCCTGAGAGAAGGAGGGATCCTAGAAGTGGGTTGCCACCGAGGCCCTGTGTTAGGGGTAGTTTATACAGCAAAGTCATAATGTCAGTACAACATGGGTCAAACTATAATCAACCTATAGGGTTACATAGCTCCTTAGCTAATGTTGATCCAATAAGGAAGCGAGTTACATAGCAAGGGTACCTGGAAAGAACAAAGGCATTTTTGGGAAGGGATGGGTCTAGATGCTTTGGTCACCCACCTGGGTGACTGATGCCTATCTGAACTTCCTGTATCAGGTAGGGCTAATTATAGTATAATTCCAATTTACTGCTTGTCCTTTAGGGAAGCCTGTAGGCCTGGCCAATGCATCTTTATCTTGAGGCTTGGCCTTCTTCAGATGTGCCTCCAGCCAAAATTCTGATGTCTTTATTTTTTCTTCTGACTTCTCTGATAGCCCAGTCCCTCTCTGACTGTATATTAATTTTTATCTAACTTAGCTGCCTATAATATTATGACCTTAAAGACTAGGGAATCAGAATCAGCTGAACATTGAGAAAATGTGGCACACGTTAATAGAGCACTGTCACAGAGCTGGGTCTGAGGAGATTCCTAGGCTAAAATAAAGAACCTAACCTACCCTTTTGTAGAATAAATTTGCAGGTTCTCTGACTCACATCTTGGAAAAAGAATTTTCAGGATGCATCAGTAAAGGGCACAGGAAGAGTTTATTAGTCAATGATTTTAGGACACACTCAGAAAAATGAGACACATTATTTCCTGGAATAGGGAACATTTAGCTTCTCTTGAAGGGGTAGAAACTCTGGAAGAAGGCAGCCCACCCCCACTGATAGAGCCCAGACAGGGATACTGCCATTTTGAACAAGCCTATCTGCCATCTCAGAGAGATGTAGGTTTCATTTTACTTAGGTCACGAGCAGTCCCCAGAGGACATGTCAGGAGGTTATGAGTATTCCTCAAACACATAAGTAAGCCAAAAGCCCACCATTTTTCTGACCCATGCTCTCAAAAGCCCACCAAAAAAACGCTGTAGAAAAAACCTTTTAGCCTGTAAGAGACACCGTCTCTGTTCTGCTCACACAGAGAGGTCTCTCTCAGGTTTAGCAATAAACCTGGTTGGACCATTGAGTTCACATCCCTTCTTTGTGTTCATGCAAGAAGAGTAGTGGCCCATTCTATAGGTATGGGCACAAATTTTTTAAAAGATAATTTAAACATTCTTTGAATTCTCTCAACCTGTTCTCAACCTGTTCTCTCAACCTATTCTCTCAACCTGTTCTTCTCAACCTGTTCTTAGGATCAGGCTCCTGGTCTTTATTTTCTCAAACCAATTTATGGACTTTCACTATTCCTGAGGAATATTGGGTGTGATGGATCTGGTAGGGAAGGAACCTAAATTTAGCTAAAGGAATGCTGATATTTGGGTAACTGGGTAACTTCAGCTGAGGCTCAAAAGTTGCAGTCTTCTTAAAAGTAAAATTTTTAGTTATGATTTCCTTGTCTCCCATTAGGTGAGCATTTTTCTATTTAAAAGTTTAAATTGTTTAGCTTCTCAAAAACATTATGTAGCAATATCCAATGTGAAGTCTGCTTTTAGTATTAGCAGAGTCTTCAGAGGCAATATTTTGGTAGACATTTGTTAAATGAGTAATGATTTTAGCACAAATGGCTTTTAGATTCCTGACTGTCCCAGAAGAAAAAAACACAAATTGTGCTTATAATGAATAACAGGTAGGGATGCCCATTCCCCATTCCTATGGTGGTCTCTGAGTATGTCATGACTGCTTCAGTTTCAGGATTAATTTGTCTCAAAAGCTCTCAGGAGCATTTTCTTAAGAGAGCTTCTAATTGATTATTCTACTCAGCTGAAGTTGAGTTAGGTGACAGACTTTATTACTTTTTACAGTAGTGACATGGGAGCAATTGAAAAGTTTATTTATTTGACATTCTCTAATAAAAGCCCCTTTGAGAGTTTCTTTACTAAGTCCATGAAAAGGAATGGATAGCTTTATCTTGTGTGTTAATTTTTTTGTGAGTAAACACTGTCTAGCCATTTTTCTTCCTAACTTCCTGAAAGAGCTGGGTTCACATTAACAAAGGCAATAATTTCTGCAACTCTGGAATGATGAAGCCAGGAGGCACTGAGGTAGGATGAATATTCCCACCTGTAGTTCATAGATCTTTCTAAATCTTCTGAGCATTGCCATTTTAAATGCCAACAACCCTGCTTCCCCCAAAATAAGACCTACCTGGAAAACAAGTTCTTGCATGATTTTGCAAGAGACATCCCCTGAAAATGAGCCCCATTGCATCTTTTGGAGTAAACAGCCTTGTTTTCCAGGTAGGTTTTATTTTCAGGGAAACATGTAATTAGTAAAGTTCCTTTTGCAGTCTTCTACATGGATTCACTTATGGGCATCTTTATTATCCAAGTGTTTCTCAACAACTCAAGCAAATGTTCCACAGGTTTGATGGTGGGCAGTTGGAAGAAGAGGCAAGGAGCAGTGGGCAGATTTGACATATTTATTCTCACACACAGCCAAGCACATTTGCACAGGGGATGGCACAGTAGTGGCCATTTGGCAATAGCAATGTTGGTTACATAAGTTATCTATATTGACCAGCAAGAATCTTTGTTATATAAGCTATTTACACTGGAGCCTTGGACATATGTCTGTTCTGGAGTCCGGCTGACTCAGGACCCATTGCCTCTGGAATTCCTCTTTCATAGCCTTTCACCCACATACCACAGCAGCAACGTATGGATAAACAGCAAGCCAGAAAAGTACTGGCCTTCCCTTGAGGATAAACAAGGGCTATCTCCAACCTGAGGCTAAAGATTTCCACCACTCCTGCAGTGGGTTTCTGGTTGCCTCTTCAATTTTGGCAGTTTCTCCCCCTCATACCCTGAAAAGCATTGGTGACATTATGTGTGTTTTCTGGTATATAGACACAGCATTGTGTGCCCAACAGACCACATATTTCACATTGGGCCACAGGGAGGATGTTTAGCACCACCCAATTTTGCGGTACTACCTCTCATGTTTGGTCTATCTCTGTAGTAAGAAGTATCAAGGCCACACACATATGATTTAAAGCCTTAGCAGTATGTTCTGCAAGGGCAGCCACCTGTTATTCCACTTCTATCTTTCCCAGTGATGGGCAACAGTAAGCACAGAGCACAATAAGGGGACAAAACCACAATGGTGTACAGCAAACCCACCACTGATACCATGCTCTGACAGCATCCCAGCTACTTGGTTGTGCACATAAAGTCTCAAAAAGGGTAGCTGGCAGATAAGGACATCCCTAGCTAAACCGTCTGGTCTAGTTGGCATGCAAATATGGCCAGTCAGTTTCTCCACAAACCCATGAGCTACCAGGGAATGCAAAATCAAAAGGAGCCTGCCCTTGGAAAGGGCAGTTGTTCCACCAGTTTCACACTGGTCCAGTGGGTTATTAAGGCAAGTTTCTGGGGACTTCACCCAACTGTTACACTAACTTTATGCTGTTCTATACATCTTGGGACCCATACTGAAGGTTCAAAATGTTTCCTCATAAGTCAACCCCAACCATCCCACACACTATGGATTAACCAGAGGGGCCCAGTTCCATGAGTTTTCCATCGTGACATGTCTATGGGTTGTCGTGTGCAGTCCCAATATTCAGTTGTGGGTCCCTATTTAGCCAGTTTGGTCCAACTGGGTGCCATAGCAGGGTGAATGTGCCAAGTCATTCCTTCTGCTGCAGTCTTAGTCACAGCAGTACGCACTCAACAATCAAATCCATTCACCAGAGCAGTGTATGCGCAAGCTCATTCTACCACACTTTTGGCATAGATTGTCTTAAGGGTGATAGGACAAAGCAAAGATAGATAATAGTAATGAAAGACCTCTCCCATTTGGTAAAATATATACCAGGCATGAGTCTTGTGACAATATTGTCACAGTCATGGAACTGTGTCCTGGCCATTGGTACCACACCTTTTCTGCAAGGCTAAGGGCCGCAAACAGCTTTGGCGCATGCAGCAATACAGGGGAATTCATTATAGGTCATAGCAAGAGCACATACATGCTCCATAATAATGGCCTGACAAGACAGGCAGGTCTGCGGACACCGTAGCAATGTCGCGAGTTGCGCGGAACACGCCAAATAAGCCCACGCTCCGGCAGCAATCCACTGGACCACCCCCCCCCCCCGCTCCTCTGTACAGCCACCTGGTTCCACACTACAAAGAAACAGAGGACACCGGACCACCAGACCACTGTACTGGGTAAGTTGGAGTCATCTTCACCCCCCATCAGGACCAGGACTATCTTCAGGGGAAGGGCAGCTGGAACCTGCAATTATAACTCTGCGGAGTTCAAGCCTACAGGAAGACAGGGAGCTCAACTTGGGACTTGCAGCCAGAAATCTGCCTGAATCTCATGGGCCTGCGACTAGCTAGCTGAGACTCATTGACATATCTGCACACTGCAACCCATGTTGTCTATTGTGACAAC